CTTTGTACTGGTGGTAAGACATCTAGCAGCACCGTAAATAATTTAAAATGTACTTCTAATTGTTGATAGGCATGTGTTAAAGATGTGATGGGTAACTATTTGAGTAAGAAATATATTTATAATACCTGACAAGAGTTTTCTACCTTGGGTATTTCTAGGCTATTTTCCACTTGGAGAAAATGGGAGTGAGGAAACTTGTACACCCTTAATTTTATCCTGAGCTTGAAAGCAAACTAACTTCATATGTCCTTGGTGTACACTTCACCCAGGTCCCTTGCCCTGGCAGCGTAGAATGACCATCTAACTACGCGTTAAGATCACAGTTCATAGAACAAGGTATTCTGGGTGAGTATAAACAAGGCACAGTCCTTTTAAAGACATATTACTTGGAAATCAGAGAATAATGTTAAAGAATGCAGTTCCCCAAACCATCTGCTCCAGTAGAAACTACGATTTATTTGAAAAGTCATCCAGTACATCAACTAATTTAGAATGCTTAAGAGAGAGATGTGATATTGGAACGTCCACCAGGGGGCGCGATAATTTTTTGAGCAGTACGTCTCGCAATGTGATCATCTGCTTGAGACCCTAGAAGACAAGGAACAAAAATTGAAGTGAAAGTCACACTGATTTAAAATAGATTAAATATGAACTGCCTGTGTTCATAGCATGATATATGATACATGGGCCATGCAGGTGTAGACCATCCTGAATGCAAAAAAAAAAAAAAAAATTAAGCCTACTAAGGTAGAAAAAGATTCTCTGTACTCTTCCCCTTCCTAATGAAAAAGAACAGCTGATATAATTGTTTTAAGTCTTCATCTTGGGAAACATCTTGCAACCTTTTATAGAAGTGTATATATACTGTGCATTTGCACAGATTTAACCATCTCCAAGCCACTGTCTGAAGCACATTTGTTGAGCTGTAAATGGTTTGTAGCCATTTCCTTGGCTACAAGCCTAGCTTTGATTTTTCTTTGCAGTAATATGTTAGTGTGGTCTGTCTTTCTAACCTTACAACCATCTTTATTAAAACAAGCTAATGCACAAGAATACCTGAACACTGGCTTCCAATCATAGTAGAGAATGTGACCTCTGTTCTTACTAAATCTTTTTTCTAATAATTATGATGTCTTCTCTCTTTCTCCATCCTTCTTCATCTTCCTTTGTACTTTCTCCTTTTAGTATTACTTGACTTAATTTTCCAGGCTATATTTGCTGTCTGGGTTTATTCTTACATATACAACTGGCAGTGGACAAAACTCAGGTTGAAATCCTAGCTCCACTTAAGTTCATGGGATCAACAAGTTTTATTGTATTTTAGCAGTTAGTTTTTCAACATCTGGAAGGATTTCATATGTTTTTTGTATGTAAGAAGCTAAGGCAGTGAAAACAAAATTGTGCTCGTCAAGAAAAACTGACAGAAGTAGCAAGGTGCTCATTGTATAAAGTCAGTCATTAATGGAATTTATCTTTTACATTAGCATATAGTATATTAGTGCAATTTATCCCTGAATTTTTATTTACTGGCTGACATAATATATGTTTTGACTGCCACACAGCAAACCCCAATATCTCTTTAGAGAACCATTTGTTTCAAAAGCACTCTCTCTGGGTACAAGCTGCCTCCTTGGACTGCATCGTGACCCAGAACAGACAACCACTGCTTTCTCACTGCATCCATGCCTGTTATACACATCTCTCCCTGCAAAAGTTCCTGTACCTGCTCGGTGAACTTACCAGACAAGCTGAATCCTGACTGGTGCAGATTACGAACAGGAGGAGCTGGTATTTTGCCTGAGCAGGGAGCTATCCTTGAAGCAGGAGTGGGGGCCACAGCTTTAGCAGTGACTATGACATCATGAACTGGCCCATCATAAAGCCCCCTGGGGACACCATGAATTTCAGCAAGCTATAATGTAATGAGGTAAACAGAAGATCAACCCCTGAACTGGTTTCAAACAAAACAATGAAAAACTTGAAGCTGAAATCGGTTCCCTGACTGATTTTTGTTCTTTTCGTTACATGCACCCTGATTAATTACAGCAAGACTGTACATGAGCCCTGAGTTATCTGCAGTGAATTGCAGAAGATGGAGCATTGCTTACAAACACTTACATCTGCTTTGTCTGGTACATTATTTTACAAGAAGTTACATGGATTTTGCAACCAGATCTGCCCCCCCCCCACACACACAAAAAGCTAGCAAATCTGCTGCCAGATCTATCAATCTTTTCAGCGTCCCATTGAAAGGTCCCTTTCCTTTACTTCATGTTGAACTGTGACAGTATGGTGCATTGGCTTCCAAAATAATACACAGGAAGTAAATACTGAATGTCTGCTGACAATATGACATTGTCAATAAGACATGACAATAAGATATCCTCATTGTCAATTGTCAATAATAGTCAATATTCTTTTTTAATATTTTATTAGACAAATTAGAAATTAGAAAAAATTGTCAGTTGTCAATAAGACATGACAGTAAGACATCCTCAGCCTGACAAAGGGTTTTTAAATCTGAAAGCTTGCTAAAAAAATGTTTCCAACTATTTAAGTTGGTGTAATAAAAGATATCAGAGTCACCTAAATAACCTTGCCTGCTGACAATAACCCTTTCACAAATGGGGCTATTCTCATTTAACCTAAGGCCTATCTATTGCTTTGGCCTGAGCTGTATAAAATTGGTTTAAGGGTAAATGAGGATCAGGTGTATCTTTAGAAATCTGCTATTGATTGGTATTTGCATGTCTGTTGGGAAGACCTCAATTCATGTTGAACTTCCTGCCCTACACACACAGCAAGACATGGCCTATTCCCAGAAGACTGTGCTATCTGACTGATTCTTCACATCAGTATTCCTCAGCTTTCAGCACCAAGATCAATATTTTCATCACCAGGGGCTAAGACAGGCGAGTCTTCCTGAGAAAAAACATTACTTAGCTGCACATTCCCAAGAGAAAGGCAAGGACTAAACAGTGACTTAAGAGTCAGAAATCATTTCCTACTCCCTCTGACTTTTATTAGACCAGTTGGTCTAATAAAAGATATCAGATTCACCCAAAGAACCTTGTCTGCCTATGTCCTTAGACCAACATGGCTACAACCTACACCCCTGTTACTTCCTCCTCTACACTGGTTCTGCTGAGCTGGCCAGTGCTTTCTGAGGACACAGCTAAGGCTTCCTATTGCCCTGCCTACCCACCCCAAACTATTTGTGTTAGAGAGAATGGGAGAGTTCACTCTTCCTGCCATGTTATTACCCACAAAGCATGTATCTTAATAAGGAGGTATGAGGGCCCCTTACATCCTGCCTTGTCCAAAGCAGTGGAAGCCAGCTCACAATTGCACCCCAAAGGAGAAGTATCCCTTAGTATTTTTATATTCAATAGAATTAAAGAGAATGACTATTTGTTGAAAAAACTGATTCGCAAAGGAGTTGCTATGTTATTACAAAGAAGGCCAAATGCTATCAGTTGTCCACATTGGGTGCGCCCACATGAGTGGGAACCTAAGTTTCCCCAGGGACAAACAGTGGCACAATATGTGCTGCTGCTGCTTGTCTCCAGGTAACGCCCATGCATGCATGTTCTGGCGTGTGGCACGTTGCCTCGGGTGGGGTAGGGGAGGCTAGGGCCAGCACCTTACCTGGGGCACTGGGGGCCTCCCAGGGATTGCAATCATGGTGATCTTGCAGCAGGGAACCTGGTCAGCAGCCGGAGTGTGGCTCTGGCTGGCCAGGCTCTGGTTTTGGGCAGTGCACACTGCTGCCACATCCGCTGCCCTGCTTTTTTAGCTGTGGGGTTTTTTTGACACCGGGATCTCCACATCTCAAAAATCACCCCTACGCTGCAAATTAACATTGCAGGGAACGTGTGCACGTGTGGCACGTGCTGTGTGTGGTGCTGCAGATGTGTCTGCAACACCGCAAGCCATACATTCCTGCTCGTCTAGACACACCCATTATGTTTTATTGTGTTCCGGTTTTGGTGGGTCAGAAGCTCTGATGTAACACGTCAACAGAACCTGACTTGGCATGATTATAACATCCTACTGCATCAGGTGCTCCTTTAAACCATCCCTCATTTTCATTGTTAAAAAAAGAGCAAAGCCAGTATAGAGAAATAGTTACATTACAAATATTCCATCTCATTAATACCAGCTGGCGGCCTTTTTTCATCACAAACTACACAGTGAGCCAGTCGTTTTATAACTATAAAAAGTCAGAATCAAAGGCTTGGAAGGTAGAAGAAGTTTAGGTTTGATAGGAAAGAAACCGGTATAGCTACGACTGCTAATGAACAACTGTTTCCATTTCGAAATAGCATTTCTGTTTTGCTGCTAACCTCTCATGCCACTTGATATTAACTTCTTCACGCATGCTAAAGGACTCTGTAAAGAAGATATCCAAAGCAATATTCTTCAACATCATTCTGGATCCTATTTTCCATCCAAGGTTCCTGCTAGACAAGAGACCAAGAGTGGAATGCAGACAACCAGACTAACTGCCCGAAGTATCGAATGGGACTGCCCAAATGCATTAACTTCACAAGCAAGCAATCAGTGAGGGTCAGATCTGACACCCAATTATTATTTAGCTAGAAGTCTAGAAACCTCCAGCTCCATATATGTAAAAGTTTATATTTAGCAAAGCTTCTTCCTTCAATAATGAAAAATGACACAATGTTTCTACTTTCAAAAATATGATAGATGCAGTTTGATCGGGAGCAAACAGCCTGAGGCACTTGGTCCTAGCAAATGGGATGAACCAGACTTAACGCTGTTTTTTTCTGCATTCTAGGAAGAGTGCATTTTTTTCCTTACACTTTGCAGATAGAACAATATATCTGAGCAGTCCCTCCCACTGTTAGTGTCATGGATCACGGATACCAGATTAGTTCTGAATTAATCAAAAGTGGTGGTTTTAAAAGCTGAGACTAACTCTCACACTTTCTTACTAGCCCCCAGTTGCTGTGGCTTTATTGCAGAAATGGCTCCACCGACAAACAAGAAGTTATTGTAAGTCACAAACAATATTGTCATTATTGCTGATATACGTTGATATATTTGCAGACAATGGAGTGGTTAGTGGGTCTTATTTGCTATTCATTAAACAATAAAAGCGTCCACAAAACATATGGAAGAATAAAGAAATGTTCACCTGTTAAGGTCTGATGTACAGCTATTGGAAAATACTATTGCAAAACCAGTTTTAGTGGTCCTAAACCAATGAACCATTCTACCTATTTTTGAGCACCAGTAACTAGATATAAATAGAAACAAATTGTAGCAGTAATGTATAGCAGCTCTCAGAACTACATTCAATATAAAAATATAACAG